TATTTTCGGACTGGGTAAAAATATCCAGAACTGCAAGTGCGGCTGGGAGCCTCGCATGTGCGGAACACATGGTCAAATAAGGCATCAGATTTTGAAATGAAAGCATGTGTGGCCCGCACGTGCGGTACATTCCGCATATGCAGTAAGGACTTCCGCACGTGCGGCAGTCGAAGGGAAATTTATCTGTTTCTTTTGACTTTCTGAACATGTTTCTGACTACATTTAGACCTTTTGGAGAGGTATAAGACATGCGAAATTCCATGAAAGGTAATGTAAATGTGTAGAGAAAGAGTACGGGAGCGAATATGAGATGATGAATGTGTTATGTAATTGTGTTTGTAGGTCAAGACGAGGACATCGCCCAATTGCTACCAGAAGCCCATCACTGTGAGTAATAGTATAGTAAAGATATGTTTTTCATTATCTATTTTGATTTCTATGAATATCGTATTTTGCCAAAATGCACAAGTTTCCAAGAAATGTGAAATGAGTTATGAACAAGAAATGTGAATTGTTTGTAATATGATGTGATGGGACCAAGGCCGTTCCTTTTATCCATTTTGTTTATGCTATGACATGATATGAATTGTTCGGTCTTTAAGACCTATTGATTTCTAGTATGGAACAAAGTGTTGTATGGAACTAAGTGCTACAATGGGAGTCACCTCTAGAATCTATACGAGTCACCTCTTAAGTCCATACATACATAAATTGGGCCCAAGGAGAGGTGGAGACATGTCGATGTTCCATCTACTCCATGATAAGATATAGTGATACGATATGATACATTTGGACCTAAGGTCATTCAGAACAGTGATATGATATGATATGTTTGGACCTGAGGTCGTTCAGAAAATGTGATATGAATACGAATGTTTTTACATCGATATATGACTCATGTTTACGAAAAGTTATTTTATATGAATGAATGAATGAATGTCCTATTTTGAAATGTGATTTTGACCCTTTGTGTAAGTGGGCATACCATGTACCATGTAAAATGTTTTGTAATGGTTTTAGATATGTAATCCATTTGAAAAAGCATGGATTTTGATACGATAAATGTTTGTTTTAAAATGATTTAAGATACGTTTCAGATTTGTGAAATATGTTTTCCTAATGTTGAGGACATCATTCATTAACCTCTTTACTTTATTATTACTTACTGGGCAATAGCTCACCCTTTTACTTTATATATATATATATATATGTAGGTGAGCCAACATTAGAGTTTGTACCGAAGTCCGCCTCTCTGTCAAGCCACCCAGGAAGTGTCTCTGTTTAGAGACATAGTATAATTTCCCAAGCTTAGTTTTGTTTAAAGGCTAATGTATAGTGTGTGAGATTTGTATATGTAAATATGGATAGTGTATTTAAACGCTTAAATTAATTTAAGTCTTCATATATGTACAAGCTCAATGGACATTATTATTATTTTTGGTATCTGCTTTCGCTTAAGGCCCCGTATTTGAATAAATATTTTTGAAATTTTATCTTTGAGGTCTAAGTACAAGTCGGTCATGGCCTAAACTTTTAGGGACAGGTTTGGGTCGTGATAGAATGGCTACAAAATGACATCGTTAAGTACAATGACATTACATTAATTTTCAACATCATCTATGTTAATCATCTCGTTCGGGGTCTGCGCTGTAAAGATTAATTTACTAACAATTTTAATGTAGACTATGTTCAAGTTGTACTCAATTGCTCAACAACAGACAACCATATGTTGCTTGATAGAAACAAAGCAAGTAGTGCACAATGTCCATTAATTTACCTCTTTATTTCTTTGTTTCTTGTTATGTTTGATCAGACATATTGCATAAAACAAAAATAACAGATTAATCATTGAAGGACATAGAGAGGAGGGAACCGTTTTACTCTACTAGGTATGATTTGTGTCTCTACTCTATTTTGAGGAGAATTGAGAACTTAGATTTTTTTCTCCTCTCATATCTTGTTCCATTAGTTGGCATAATGGTAAGGTTGCTTCATTCTGAACTGGGCATCATGGGTTTGAAACGCAACCCCAATCCCAGACACTACCACCGCAGAGCCTCGTGGCGCAGAAGATGTAAAATCATTAATCAGATTGCACTACAGAACCAGGATAATTGTTGTAATAAAAACCTTTATTTGTAAAACATTAATGCTAATCATCAAAGTCACACAACCTCTAGTCAACACAAATTCAGAAAGAATTAGAATCCACTTCTATCTCGCAAGTGAAAGTAAACTAAAACAAAATAATAAAAAAAAAAAGAAAGAAGAAGAAGAAAAAGAAAAAGAAATATAAGATAACAAACATGAAATTGACATATATCTGCACACCATTGAATGAAAAAAAGCTGTAAATAAAGGCCTCCAAGAAGCTTTCTTAGTTGGTTTCATGGCTAGAATGCCCTTTTTGTTAGAAAATATTGGGTTTTCGACAACTTTAATTCAAATTAAAGTGGGACCCAACTGCCAGTTAAGGTGATTTTGTATTATCTTAAGTGAAAAGATTGCAATAAAAAAATAACGACCTGAAACCATTGAATTTTTATGAGAATTGTCTCATAAAGTGGGCATCAATAAAGTTGGGTTTAGATTTGGACTTAGTTTTAATTTGGACTGGGCCTAGACTTGTACTTGTGTATGTGTTGGGTTTGGTCTTAGACTTGGACTCGGACTTGGACCTAGTCTTGAACTTTGGGCTGAGTTGTGCTGGGCTTAGTTTGTGCATGTATTTGAGATTGAGCTTGAATCGGGTTGTGACCCAACACTCGTATCAATTTTGCTACACATCTAGTTTAATTCTCAAAACTTATACATTATATACACATTATGATTTATATAATGGTTTTGGAGTTATGAACCTTTGTAACTCTAGTCCTAATGGCTAGAGTTGATGACATTTGTTGACCCCATTATTGTTACCCTTAATAGCTAAGACTCTCCTCTACTAGCATAAATAGAGGCTTTTCTTCTCCAACTTAGTAGGTTGTTTTAGAGAGGTTTTGTGATGGAAAATGAGATAGTGTTCTAAGGTAAAAAGTTTGAGATGGTTTTTTTCACCAAATAAATTTTTTTCTTATCTTATTTTCCTATCCTCTTCTTTTGTTCTTGTTAGAGAGAGTGCAGCCATTGTTAAGTTCACCGAAACTATTCAGAAAGTGCTTTTGTATTAGCTGGTTTCAACCGTCGCATCCTGAGAGAAAGATGCCGGCATACCTCCAACACCCATCGAGAGTCGGTGAATCTGTTTTAAGGAAACTATAGTATCACACAGGCTTCGGTTTGCTTCTTTTCTTATTATTTGTTCTTTAATTTTTCATAATTTAGTTTACCTTGACGAGTTCTAATCGTTAGTTATCCATGTTAATAATTTTTTTTAGTAATGTAATCTAATTTATTTCTGTATATATTTGTCGTTTTCATCCTTTAATAAAAAAAAATTATTGCAATTTCTATTTAATTTATTTTATATATTTTTCTTGTATTATTATGGAAAAGTACCAACACTTTTTCCATAAACAAGTGATAATATTACAGAAATTTCAATTGATGTCCCATTTGATGAATCCCACTTTAGTCATTATGCCGTAGCCATTATTTGGGTATTTTACGACTGCCACTTCCTCTTAGTGTATGAAGACTTGCTTACGAGTAGAATTGATGGCCCTTTGCATCTTTTATAATTCGCCTTACCCCTCCAATAGGCAACAAGATCCTCAAAAGAACACCGAGTATAATGCAGATCTGAAATTGATGAAGCCAAATCAAAATTAATTAAGCTTTAAATTTCAAACCACAAGGAAAAAAAATAAAAGCAATGTGAAATTAATTTTAAGTTTCAGTCATACCCAGTTAGTAACCCAAGACAAGCTGAACCTCCTCGGCTTGTAGATAACAAGCCACATGATGCATGGTAACTGTAAAAAAAGAAAGAATGAGAGTAAGCAATCATACGATGTTTGCTTCATAATTCTATATGGTTTCAATAAAAAAGTGATCAGACAGTTGCTTACAAAGTATGTTGTAGCGGCAAATGCTTCTTCAAAGAATCCAAGAAGACCACCAAAGAAAGGAAACGTAATGCCAACAAACATCGTGAATGCTGCAAGAAAAAGAAATTATATTAACTCTCAGAATATGTAACTTTTTGCTTTCGACAAAATCATAAACTCATGTACATAATGCAGAAATTGGATGAAGATAAGGAATACAATTCACTTACCCACGTATATATTTCGTGAAAAAAAGCGAAGCATTAATGTGGGCTCGAAATTCAATTTTTTTACCAAAGCCATTTCTATCATGTCAAACACCGGCATTGCATAAATCTAAAACAACAAAAAAAAAAAAATCAGATAGAGATCCACCAAAGAATGTTTATCAACTTAATCAAATCAAGAAATTATGGCTCGCACCTGATAGCTTCCAATAACATGAATAACAACAAACAGGTTAGCCATTGCAATGAGCCATGTGGGTTTCTCTAATGAGATGAGGATATTGTCTTGAACATTGTTTCGAAATATCCAATAAACGATCAGTGCCACAGGGAAGTAGCACAAGGCCACGACTATATGGGCAACTATCACTCCCCTTCACATGGGGCCCTTGGAAGCCTTTTTGGGTGTAGAAGGGATTGTTGCTTGAATCTCTAAGACCGTGTTGTGGCCTGCATAGGCGAAAGCTACATCACCCAAGGCACTGAAGAAGTTGAAGACTTTTCCTGCTATGCTCTTCTCTGTATATGAATATTGGGCATTTGGTTGCACGCCCTTGTGAAGTGAAGCAGCCCAAGCAATGGTAGAGTAACTGCAGGGCATTGAAATAAGAGATATTGCTATACTTGCTTGCCGATCAATATTAAGCATTGGAGCACTAATAAAAATTAGGGGTTGCCTCTTTTTTTTTCCATGAATTTTCATGTGACTATTAGGTTTAATTATATTTTTTCATGCAAACATAAAATCATTGGGAAACAATGATGAAACTGCATCAATGAGAAGATGGATTTTGGACATGAAAACTATGTTTCATGGACTCTCGTGTCCTTAGAGCATCTCCAACGGTTCAGTAAAATTTTCACCAAATCTGAGTAAGAAAAAGTTGATTTTCTTGATCTAATACGCGTAGCTGCAATGGTTATGGTTACTATAGTGTGCATCAAAAGGAAAGGGGTTATGGTTACAGTAACCATAACCATTAGAGCTATGCGTATTAGATCAAGAAAATCAACTTTTTTTTACTTAGATTTGGTGAAAATTTTACTGAACCGTTGGAGATGCTACTTCCCTGTGGCACTGATCGGTTATTGGATATTTGGAAACAATGTTCAAGACAATATCCTCATCTCATTAGAGAAACCCACATGGCTCATTGCAATGGCTAACATGTTTGTTGTTATTCATGTTATTGGAAGCTATCAGGTGTGAGCCATAATTTCTTGATTTGATTAAGTTGATAAACTTTCTTTGGTGGATCTCTATCTGATTTTTTTTTTTGTTGATTTAGATTTATGCAATGCCGGTGTTTGACATAATAAAAATGGCTTTGGTAAAAAAATTGAATTTCGAGCCCGCATTAATGCTTCGCTTTTTTTCACGAAATATATACGTGGGTAAGTGAATTGTATTCCTTATCTTCATCCAATTTCTGCATTATGTACATGAGTTTATGATTTTGTCGAAAGCAAAAAGTTACATATTCTGAGAGTTAATATAATTTCTTTTTCTTGCAGCATTCACGATGTTTGTTGGCATTACGTTTCCTTTCTTTGGTGGTCTTCTTGGATTCTTTGAAGAAGCATTTGCCGCTACAACATACTTTGTAAGCAACTGTCTGATCACTTTTTTATTGAAACCATATAGAATTATGAAACAAACATCGTATGATTGCTTACTCTCATTCTTTCTTTTTCTACAGTTACCATGCATCATGTGGCTTGTTATCTACAAGCCGAGGAGGTTCAGCTTGTCTTGGGTTACTAACTGGTATGACTGAAACTTAAAATTAATTTCACATTGCTTTTATTTTTTTTCCTTGTGGTTTGAAATTTAAAGCTTAATTAATTTTGATTTGGCTTCATCAATTTCAGATCTGCATTATACTCGGTGTTCTTTTGAGGATCTTGTTGCCTATTGGAGGGGTAAGGCGAATTATAAAAGATGCAAAGGGCCATCAATTCTACTCGTAAGCAAGTCTTCATACACTAAGAGGAAGTGGCAGTCGTAAAATACCCAAATAATGGCTACGGCATAATGACTAAAGTGGGATTCATTAAATGGGACATCAATTGAAATTTCTATGATATTATCACTTGTTTATGGAAAAAGTGTTGGCATTTTTCCATAATAATACAAGAAAAATATATAAAATAAATTAAATAGAAATGGCAATAATTTTTTTTTATTAAAGGATGAAAACGACAAATATATACAGAAATAAATTAGATTACATTACTAAAAAAAGTTATTAAAATGGATAACTAACGATTAGAACTCGTCAAGGTAAACTAAATTATGAAAAATTAAAGAACAAATAATAAGAAAAGAAACAAACCGAAGCCTGTGTGATACCATAGTTTCTTTAAAACAAATTCACCGCCTCTCGATGGGTGTTGGAGGTATGCCGGCATTTTTCTCTTAGGATGCGACGGTTGAAACCAGCTAATACAAAAGCACTTTCTGAATAGTTTTGGTGAACTTAACAATGACTGCACTCTCTCTAACAAGAACCAAAGAAGAGGATAAAAAAAGAAGATAAGAAAAAAATTTTTTTGGTGAAAAAAATCATCTCAAACTTTTTACCTTAGAACACTATCTCATTTTCCATCACAAAACCTCTCTAAAACAACCTACTAAGTTGGAGAAGAAAAGCCTCTATTTATGCTAGTAGAGGAGAGTCTTAGCTATTAAGGGTAACAATAATGGGGTCAACAAATGTCATCAACTCTAGCCATTAGGACTAGAGTTACAAAGGTTCATAACTCCAAAACCATTATATAAATCATAATGTGCATATAATGTATAAGTTTTGAGAATTAAACTAGATGTGTAGCAAAATTGATACGGGTGTTGGGTCACAACCCGATTCAAACTCAATCTCAAACACATGCACAAACTAAGCCCAGCACAACTCAGCCCAAAGTTCAAGACTAGGTCCAAGTCCAAGTCCAAGTCTAAGACCAAACCCAACACATACACAAGTACAAGTCTAGTCCCAGTCCAAATTAAAACTAAGTCCAAATCTAAACCCAACTTTATTGATGCCCACTTTATGAGACAATTCTCATAAAAATTCAATGGTTTCAGGTCGTTATTTTTTTATTACAATCTTTTCACTTAAGATAATACAAAATCACCTTAACTGGCAGTTGGGTCCCACTTTAATTTGAATTAAAGTTGTCGAAAACCCAATATTTTCTAACAAAAAGGGCATTCTAGCCATGGAACCAACTAAGGAAGCTTCTTGGAGGCCTTTATTTACAGCTTCTTTTCATTCAATGGTGTGCAGATATATGTCAGTTTGATGTTTGTTATCTTATATTTCCTTTTCTTTTTCTTCTTCTTCTTTCTCTTTTTTTTTATTATTTTATTTTATTTTACTTTCACTTGTCAGATAGAAGTGGATTCTAATTCTTTCGGAATTTGTGTTGACTAGAGGTTGTGTGACTTTGATGATTAGCATTAATGTTTTACAAATAAAGGTTTTTATTACAACAATGACCCTAGTTCTACAGTGCAATCTAATTAATACTTTTACATCATCTGCTCCACGAGGCTCCGTGGTGGTAGTGTCTGGGATTGGGGTTGTGTTTTAAACCCATGATGCCCAGTACAAAATGAGGCAACTTTATCGTTATGCCAACTAATGGAACAAGATATGAGAGGAGGAAAAAATCTGAGTTCTTAATTCTCCTCAAAATAGAGTAGAGGCACAAATCATACCTAGTAGAGTAAAACGGTTCCCTCCTCTCCATGGCCTTCAATGATTAATCTGTTATTTTTGTTTTATGCAATATGTCTGATCAAACACAACAAGAAACAAATAAATAAAGAGGTAAATTAATGGACATTGTGCACTACTTGCTTTGTTTCTCTCAAGCAACATATGGTTGTCTCTTGTTGAGCAATTGAGTACAACTTGAACATAGTCTACATTGAAATTGTTAGTAAATTAATCTTTACAGCGCAGACCCCGAACGAGATGATTAACATAGATGACGTTGAAAATTAATGCAATGTCATTGTACTTAACGATGCCATTTTGTAGCCATTTTGTCATGACCCAAACCTGTCCCTAAAAGTTTAGGCCATGACCGACCTATACTTAGACCTCAAAGATAAAATTTCAAAAATATTTATTCAAATACGGGGCCTTAAGCGGAAGCAGATACCAAAAATAATAATAATGTCCATTGAGCTTGTGCATATATGAAGACTTAAATTAATTTAAGCATTTAAATACATTATCCATATTTACATATACAAATCTCACACACTATACAGTAGCCTTTAAACAAAACTATGCTTGGGAAATTATACTACGTCTCTAAACGGAGACACTTCTTGGGTGGCTTGATAGAGAGGCGGACTTCGGTACAAACTCTAATTTTGATCCTTCGACGGCTCACCTACATATATATATATATATATAAAGTAAAAGGGTGAGCTAATGCCCAGTAAGTAATAATAAAGTAAAGAGGTTAATGAATAATGTCCTCAACATTTGGAAAACATATTTCACAATTCTGAAATGTATCTTAAATCATTTTAAAACAAACATTTATCGTATCAAAATCCATGCTTTTTCAAATGGATTACATATCTAAAACCATTACAAAACATTTTACATGGTACATGGTATGCCCACTTATACAAAGGGTCAAAATCACATTTCAAAATAGGACATTCATTCATTCATTCTTATAAAATAACATTTCGTAAACATGAGTCATATAGCGATGTAAAAACATTCGAATTCATATCACATTTTCTGAACGACCTCAGGTCCAAACATATCATATCATATCACTGTTCTGAATGACCTTAGGTCCAAATGTATCATATCGTATCACTATATCTTATCATGGAGTAGATGGAACATCGACATGTCTCCACCTCTCCTTGGGCCCAATTCATGTATGTATGGACTCCAGAGGTGACTTGTACAGATTCTAGAGGTGACTCCTATTGTAGCACTTAGTTCCATATAGCACTTTGTTCCATACTAGAAATCAATAGGTCTTAAAGACCAAACAATTCATATCATGTCATAGCATAAACAAAATGGATAAAAGGAACGGCCTTAGTCCCATCATATCATATTACAAATAATTCACATTTCTTGTTCATAACTCATTTCACATTTTTTGGAAACTTGTGCATTTTGGCAAAATACGATATTTATAGAATCATGTTGTACATAAATCAAAATAGATAAGGAAAAACATATCTTTACTATACTATTACTCACAGTGATGGGCTTCTGGTAGCAATTGGGTGATGTTCTCGTCTTGACCTACAAACACAATTACATAACACATTCATCATCTCATATTCGCTCACGTACTCTTTCTCTACACATTTACATTACCTTTCATGGAATTTCACATGTCTTATACCTCTCTAAAAGGTCTAAATGTAGTCAGAAACATGTTCAGAAAGTCAAAAGAAACAGATAAAATTTCCCTCCGACTGCCGCACGTGCGGAAGTCCTTATCGCATGTGCAGAATGTACCGCACGTGCGGGCCACACATGCTTTCATTTCAAAATCTAATGCCTTATTTGACCATGTGTTCCGCACGTGCGAGGCTCCCAGCCGCACTTGCAGTTCTAGATATTTTTACCCAGTCCGAAAATACTTCAAGGTATAATCTTTCCTACCCAATTGTCAAGCCTAAATCCATACAAAACTAACTCAAAAAACATGATAATCTAACAATATTCAAATACAATCTCATTTCAAACACATCAATTTTTGCTTGAAGTTCAAAATCAATATCTCATCTTTCATAATCTTAAAAGTTCCAAAACATAACCGACAAATACACTTGATCCTTGCATAAATCTTGTTGTATGGACAATCTAGAGTTCATTTCATATATTATTCACAAGATTGAACTCCAATCATGCAAAATCAAAGGACCCAACTTAAATTTAGCTCAATTAAATACATAACACAAAACCCTAACCCAAGTGGGTTTCAAATCTTCAAATCTCTTTATGATTTCATGAAATTGATGAATTAATCATAAGGATTCAAGATAGATTTCCATACCTTAGTTCAAATCCTTGTTTTTCCTTTAAATCTCTTCAAGTCCTTCATCTTCAATTTTGTCTTCAAATTCCATGGATGTTAAGCGCTCTCTCTATCTCTCTCTCGGTTCTTCTCCAAAACCCTCTCTCTCTCAAAATATTTTTCTCTCATCTCTTCTTTTGTTTGAGCCAAGCAAGACTCATATACATATATACATATATATATAAAATATAATATTTAATGAGAATCAATTTAATCAATTATGAATAAGATTTTTACAAAATTTCATATTAGACTCAAAAAATTCCAATTAACTCATCCATGTACACCATTACGGTTTCTGAACCCATTAAGGCCGTCAATTTCAGTTTCAAAGTCATAGGCCCAACAGATATTTTCCCAATTTGGACAGATATTCATCAATTAACCCACATAATCAATAACTAACACATAATTTAATTCTCATAATCATGATATGTGTTATGAGATTGTCACACATTCAGTTTAAAATTATTCATTTGATGTGAATAATGAAGCATTTGTCATAGTACTTATCGATACCTATTCAGTTCAACTTGAATGGTGTGGTGTCGCATCCTGTGAAGCCGACCTACTTCATCACAGTTTGATTCGAATAATCAACTCTATAAACTTTGTTTAATGTTTGCTCTTAAAGATGTCAAATTCAAGACAGCTCCAAAAGACAGTTGTTGCTTCATTTGTCTAAAGTGGAATTCTTTTCAACAAAAATTGCTTAAATACAAACAGTATATTCTCTTTCTCTTTGAATTGCAAGTTGGGCTTCTTCCTATTAAAGTTCAGACCGTTTTGATATTTTAGAGTTGGAATAGTTTTTATACGATCGTAGATTTTTTCTTTTATTTTGTGTTTCATCTTCCCCTATGTTATGTGAAAACATGGTAAGTCAATTTCCA